GGAGGTAAAAAGAGTGTCGGGATCGTTTCCTTCGGTGTACTTGTACCTCGTCAGAAATGCCTGAGTAAGGAAAGGGCGATTTCGCCGCAGGAGGAAAAGTGGAGGTGCCGGGGATTGAACCCGGGGCCTCGTGCATGCTAAGCACGCGCTCTACCACTGAGCTACACCCCCATGCACTCAAAGCTGCGCGAAATACACTTATGACTTTGATGCCGCCGACCCACCGAAGGCACCCCAACCGAGACCGTAGGGACGCTGGGGAGGACACGAGCGGACAGAGAACCCTCCGCATCCAGGTCCTACGGGACCCGGGTGGCCGGGAGGAAAGACCGTCTCGGCGAGGCCCTGGCGATGGAGGAAGGGCGGGCGGGCGAGCGGAGGGCGGTGTCGCTCAGACCGCGCCGCTGGGACCCGGCCGGAGCCAGCGCCCGCGCCAACCAGGAGCAGGTTGGAGCGCGGTGCAAGTTCTGCTCGGTCCTGGGTCTAGCTCACCGCGAGCATGTGTTTGCAAACTGCAGCCCAGAAATGTAGATTCCCGGTCTCCACATGGTCGTGTCATGCAAAACTTCGACACGCGCGTTTTCCCGTCTCAGCTCCGAGGACGGCCGGACACTCTCCTGACACCTTTGCTTTTAGGTCTTCCCGGCTGACCTTGGTCGCTCCGGGTTCCCTACCACGCGGCCGGCAGGCCTGGAGAATCAACCTGAACGGAACGCGGGTCCCAGAGCAGCTAACTCAGAGGAGGCGAGGGAGGGAGGGAGGAAAAGGGACCCGGGCTGGGGCGGCTGAGGCCACAGCGCGTTCCCCGCAGTGCAACTTTCCGCCAGGCGAGGGCGCTGCGGAAACAACCTGCAAACATTGCCGAGTTTTCGAGTAGAGCGGGCTTCCTGAATGTAGAGGAAACCAAAGACCAAGATCACCACGCATATTTTTTGAAGTAAAATACTTTCTCTTAATTAGTTGATTATCTGAGATATTTTTATAGCGATGGAGAGCTAACAGGTGTAGAAATGTTGACTGTTGCCCTTTTAACTTCCAGCAGGTTTGAATTTTTTCAATTCAAATGTAATAGGCGGAGACATAGGCATGTTTTTCCTTCTTCCAGGATGGTGAAGCATTTCACGTGTCTATTTAGTTATTTTTGGCTTTTTGAGACGGCCTCCTTATGTAGCCCAGGCTAGCCTCGAACTCAGGATAACCCTCCTTTCTCAGCCTCCTGTCAGGTTTTTTTTTTTTTTTTTTTTTTTTTAAGATTGCAACCATACATGACAAGATGTAGATGATGGCTTTTTTGGTGTATACAGTCTAACAAGGAACACAAATAAATTCTTACATGAACTACAATGAAAATACCAGTAGCACTTTACCAAAAGAAAATCTTCACATCTAACAACAGCACGTTCCATACACACGTTATCACTTACACTGACAACACATGTACTTTACTTTACTGACCTTTTTGTAGGACACACTTGAAATCTCACTGGTCTTGCTGTTTTTTCAGGAGGTTCTTATTATATTATACAGTGTGTAGTTAATAGGAACATAAAATACCAGTAGAATAAAGTATTAAATTCTTAATGTATATTGTGCACTTAGAATAGACATTAACATTATCACATCAGCTGTTTACTTGCTTACAAAACCTAAACAATAACATGAGAAGTAAATTCCTACGTGACCTGCAATGGAAATTGCAATAGAACTCCACAGCAAAATTTAGCTTTGCTTCAGTCGTCACACCCAAGGCAGTCTTCACACGTGACAACTGCATGTTCCATGGACACAACTCACTTACACTGACAGCACACGTGCTTAGCGTTCCTTTCCTGTGTGGCAGGCCATTCTTGTCACCTCTCTTATCTTTCTGTTTTGTCAGGATCTTCCTACTGTTTTGTACAGCACGCACTGAGCAGGGAAATAAGAGCAATAAAATAAAATATCAAGTATGTAATGAGTACTTAGCATAGACATCAACGTTTTCACATCAGCTGTTTATTTGCTTAAAAAACCAAAGACAGAACATCAGAAATAAAAAAACTATGTGAACTACAATCTAAATAAAAACAAAAGTCTCCCACAGAAATAACCTTTGCTTCAACTGTCACACTCAAGGCAGTCCTCACCAATGAGAACTGCGTGTCCCATACACAAATATCACTTACACTGATAGCACATATATTTTGTTTTCCTGTTCTTTCTTGTAGGGCACAGTTGACATCTTTTTGGTTTTCCTGTTCTCATAGTAGGTCTTTGTGATACTGCACCTACCTGTGCACCTGTCAGCTCACCAGTGTGCTCCACAATTTTTTTTGCATAGTTTCCTGAAAATAAATACTTTGTTTTTCCTCTGCTATAAACGATCTCTTATGAGTTCCAGTCCCAATCCCCTATGAAATTTTCTCTGGTTTATTTTGTGTGTGTTATTTTCTTTGTAAATTATCAAACTATTTATTCCACATGTTTAGGATTAAGTAAAACACAACCAAATGGCAATGCTTTGTGTTTTGAGTGACGTCATAGTCACTGCATAACTCAACAACATCTACTCTGCTTTTGGTTTTGTTGTAGAAAGTTTCCATCTCAGACTTCTGTTTTGTCAAGGTTTCCCTTTCAGTATTTCCATCATGGTGCAATGTTGACATCAGCAGCACCAGTTTGTTTTTCTTTTCCATATACAAGGCCAATGTGAATCTTTCTGAAATCCAAGATTATGCTTTATAATTGTTTTGAAATTGCAACATTTCATTTGGAATTTCTGCTTTGTTCCTGAGTACAGTTCCTACACTGGTCAACTTCTGCTCTGTTAGCAAATATAACATCCACTGGAAACTGGTAAACCAATTGTCAAATGTCACATTCTGATTAGTTTGGAGCAACAAGTCTGTTCACAGTGTCATTTGGTTTATTACTATATGAATAAGGACCTGATGGCTGGATTCCAGGATAAATTTCTAAACTAAAAGCATAATAACTCTTTGTATCTATAAGGCCTTCAGTTTTTATGCTGTATTTTGACCCATCCCTTTTCTGTAAGTCTTTTACATTTCTGTGACTACCATGAGAAATCTCTGCAAAGTACAACAGACCTATAAATGCTTTGAGTTTAGCTAGTGAGGTTTTATAATAAATACATTTTAATATGACTATTGGTGCATACAGAATGTTTAACTTGCATTTCAGACATTTGTAGCATTTATCTGTTACAATTTCAAATGTTGAAAGGCAGTGCTGGCATTCTGTCTAAAAGGTTTCACCCCGCCAATATCCTGACCATATTTTTGGACCTTGTTCTAATGCTGGATCATTCCACTTCATTGTGTGGTTTTTCTGCAACATTTCAACTAGTCAAATATGTACTGCATTGCTGTTTTCTTTGTCATCTGAATAAAGGAGTCTACATTCCTTGTGTCTATGTCAGTCAATTCTATTTTGCTATCACAAGAACTTTGGCTCCCATGGGTGATATCAAAGTCATCACAATTGTCATACCTCAGGCTAGGAATATAGCTCAGTGGTTCTGCCGCCTGCCTTGCAAGCACAAAGGCCTC